CATAATGTGTGAACCCAGAAATTTGTGAACCCAGAAATTAAAGGGTATCCTTTGTCCTACATCCCATAATGGATTAATTTCCGGAACGTCCTACTGTAAGACATGTCCATTACCTTAGATGATTATGAGAAAATTAGTATCGGCATTTATTGAAGCCTGCTAGGTTCTTGATTGCTGATTAGGAGGGTTGTAGCTCCAGTTGTTGCATTTAATTTAAAATGAAAAATGAGGACCGCCACAATATTGAGTTCATTCAACACAATGTACTGTTAAGACTAATCTCTTCCTTAACACAATCCAGCTTCCCTTCCATGTGGCTTTTCTCCAAATTGGTGCCTTCTTGAAACTTGGACTACAACCTCCATTGTCCTTAGCCGTGTGCAGTGTTCTTTTAGCAGAATAACAGAGCTGGAAGAGACCCTAGAGGTCTTCTAGTCCAACCTTCTGCTCAAGCAGGAGATCCGATATCACTTCAGACAAATGGTTGTCCAATCTCTTCTTAAAAACCTCTGACGATGGAGCATCCAGAACTTCTGGTGGGAACCCATTCCACGGATTTAATTGTTCTCACTGGAAATTTCTCCTTACTCCTAAGCTGGATATCTCCTTGATTACTTTCCATCCACTGCTTCTTGTCCTGCCTTCAGGAATTCTGGAGAAAAAATTGATCCCCCCTCCTCTTCTTTGTGGCAACCCCTTAGATATTGGAAGGCTGCTATCATATAACATGTCCAAGATATTCCATTTTGCTCCTTCCTCTGTCTGCCTTAACCGTTCTCCCAACCCAGTCAATCAGCATTTTGCACGTTGGATTCCCTGAGCTGACAATCATCCCTTATCAGGGGTGGGTTCTAAATTTTTTTACTACGAGTTCTGTGGGCGTGGCTTATTTTGTGGGTGTGGCTTGATGGTCATGTGACAATTCTTTAGGATTTAGCAGAGGTACTGGTCTGCCAGGCTTTTAACTGCTTGCAGAGCTGTACCGATCTACCCATTTATTTTTTGCAGGCACCGGTCTACTCATTTGTTTTCTTTTAACACTGATCAGCTGTAGGGCGGCCCTTTGAAGCCCCAGCGGCAAGAGTTTAAACAGGTTTTTTCCCTCTAGTCATCAGCTGGGACTCAGGAGGCAGCAATAGATTAGGGGTGGGGCCAAATAAAAGGTAAAAGATAAAAAGGGCCTGGTGGGTCAGCAGACTGATAGCATTGTGATTAACACCAGCTGTCTGCAATTACTGTAAGTTCGAACCTCACCAGGCTCAAGGTTGACTCAGCCTTCCATCCTTTCTAAGGTAGGTGAAATGAGGACCCAGTTTGTGGGGGCAATAAGCTGACTTTGTATAAATATACAAAAGTATGAAGGCTATTGCTTAACGCATTGTAAGCCGCCCTGAGTCTCCGGAGAAGGGCGGCATATAAATCAAATTAAAAAAAAAAAACCGTGGGGGGTGGGGGGCGCGGGGGGCCAGAACCGGTTCGGTGATGTCATATCGTCACTGCTACCGGCTCGGGAGAACCGGGCCAAACCGGGAGGAACCCAACACTGTCCCTTACTCTTTAAAGGTTCTTAAAAAAAAAAAAGAAAAAAAAAAAGAAACAATCAACATTTAGTTAACCAAGACTTAAAAACAACAACATCACATGGATCTTACTATTTTGATAACAAAGCCCAGTTTTTTCCAACCTGATCAATTTTCAGATGTATGGACTTCCAAGTCTTAACTTTCTGAGAGTTGAAATCTGCATATCTAGAAATTGCTCGGGTTAGGAAATACAGTCACGGCTATCTCTGGAGAACAAGTTGCCTACTATGGGGAGTAGTGGTTGAGATTTTGAACTAGGATCAGGGAGATCCCAGGTTCTAGTCCTCCTGAAGTCCCAGAGGCAGTGGTGTGTGTGTGTGTTTGTGTGTTAGTGGTGAAAGTGCTGGACTAGGATGGGGGAAACCTAGATTCTGGTTCTTCCTCAGCTGTGAGGGATTCTGGGCCGGTCATTCTCGTTCAGCCAATAAGCCACTGTGATGTTGTGGTATTGCGTTAGACTAGGAATACGGATCTATATTCAAGTCGTCTCTGAGCCACCAATGCTCACTGAGTTATTTTATTATTTATTTATTTAATTTTATTTTTGAATTTGTATACCGCCCTTCTCCCTGAGGACTCAGGGCGGTGAACAGCCAAATAAAAACATCAAATACAAACATTAAAACACATTTAAAAAATATATATAGATTTGGCCCCATTAATTAAAACGATAAACAAAACAAAACAAAACAGCAGCGCAGGTAGTGACGGGAGCAGCGTGGCGCTCCCATGTAACACCGCTCCTGCGCGAGCTGCACTGGCTCCCAGTGGTCTTCCGGGTGCGCTTCAAGGTGTTGGTTATCACCTTTAAAGCGCTCCATGGCATAGGGCCTAGCTATCTCCGAGACCGCCTGCTGCTACCGACGACCTCCCATCGACCCGTGCGCTCCCACAGAGAGGGCCTCCTCAGGGTGCCATCAGCCAAACAATGTAGGCTGGTGGCCCCCAGGGGGAGGGCCTTCTCTGTGGGGGCTCCCACCCTCTGGAATCAGTTGCCCCCGGAGATAAGAAGAATCCAGGACCTCAATGCCTTCTGTCGTTCCCTGAAAACCCATCTTTTTCAACAAGCCGGGTTGGCCTAAGAAGAAATTTTTAAAATTTTTAAATTCTTTTAATTAGTCTGTGATTCTTAACTTTCGGGCCAAAATTTATATATATTTTTAAATGTTTTAATATTTGTATCCTATGTTTTTTATCTTGGCTGTACACCGCCCTGAGTCCTCAGGGAGAAGGGCGGTATATAAATTGGAAATTAAATTAAATTAAATTAAATTAAATTAAAAAACCCTTAAAAAGAAATTAAGCCAGCCCGGCTTGTTGAAAAAAGAAAGTTTTAAGGGCACGGCGGAAGGCACTGAGGTCATGGATTCTCCTTATCTCAGGGGGCAACTGATTCCAGAGGGTGGGTGCCCCCACAGAGAAGGCCCTCCCCCTGGGGGTCACCAGCCTGCATTGTTTGGCTGATGGCACCCCGAGGAGGCCCTCTCTGTGGGAGCGCACGGGTCGGTGGGAGGTCGTCGGTGGCAGTAGGCGGTCTCGAAGATAACTAGGCCCTATGCCATGGAGCGCTTTAAAGGTGATAACCAACACCTTGAAGCGCACCCGGAAGACCACCGGGAGCCAGTGCAGCTCACGCAGGAGCGGTGTTACATGGGAGCGCCACGCTGCTCCCGTCACTACCTGCGCTGCTGCGTTCTGGACCAGTTGGAGCCTCCGGGTGCTCTTCAAGGGGCACTGAGTGACTCATCGTCTCCTAGCTGTCCACCCAATCTAACGCATAAAGTTTATTATTATGAGGAAACCTGGAAAAAGGAGTACTATATTGTACCAGCAAAAGAGAATGTTTGTAGCTTAGGGTTTAACTGTGGGGGTCCTTGGTGTTCTCTGAGCTTGTTTGTTTTCTTGCAGACATTTCAGAGGTGAAATCCAGCAGGTTCTGACAGGTTCTGGAGAACCGGTAGCGGAAATTTTGAGTAGTTCGGAGAACCAGCAAATGCCACCTCTGGCTGGGCCCAGACTAGGGTGGGAATGGAGATTTTGCAATATCCTTCCCCTGCCATGCCCACCGAGCCACGCCCACCGAGCCACACCACGTCCACCAAGCCACGCCCACAGAACCGGTGGTAAAAAAATTGAATTTTACCACTGAGACATTTCATTACCAAACTAGGCAACATCATCAGTTCTAGTGAATGTGGGGTTTGCTCTCTGTTTAAAACAGAGGTGGGCTGCTTCGGTTCAGGTGAACCGGTAGTTGTGACCCGTGGGTGGGTCCTCCCACCCGTCCCAGGGCTATTCCGTCCTTATCCCGGTGTTTTTGAAGCTGCGCGCACTCACATTTTCAGTGCTGGTTGTTACAACCAGCAGCAGCCCACCACTGGTTTAAATGCTAGTGATTTGCCCTACCAGTGTTGTCTGAAGACAGACAAGGTAAACAACAGCCTAGTCAAGGAACCACCAAGAACATTCCCATCAATACTGACAGGGCAAACCACTTGTATATAAACAGAAACCAACCCCCACTCCTTTCTAGCACTGATGATGTTACCTAGTTTGGTAAAGAGATGTCTGCAAGAAGACAACCAAGCTCAGAGAGCACCGAAGACTCCATAATACCTGTTGTGGTCCACCAGCACCCTGCGGAACTGGCAGCGGAATCGGACAGCGATGAAGCTGAGGAAGAACATGGGCCAGTCCTGGAGGCTGGGGAAGGCCCGGATGAGGGCTCTGCATCGGAGGCAGAGATGGGGCCAGGGCCATCTGGGAATGATGTGTGGACTCCGGAGCCTCCAGAGACTGATAGAAGTGAGGCAGAGGAACAGGAGGAGCCTGTTCCTAGTGCACGCATGAGAAGAGCTGCCAGAAGGCAAGAGCAGCTCAAGCAAAGAGGACAACTCTGGAATAGGGCCAAGAGATGATTGGTCCTCCCATAAGGCTTAAAACAGACCAGCAACGGCGTTTGGGCTTTGCCAGAAAACAACATTGGTAGCTTCGTCTTCTTCTTCATCTACGTCTTGTATTTATTTTTGAATCTGTGACTTCTGAATGTTTGCCAAGAAAGGCCTTTGGCAGTTTGCCTAATTGGACCGAGATTTGTGATAGGACTGAGGAATTTGTGTTGGGAGGAATTTGCTTTAATTTAGTTGAAAGACGCTGGGAATGAAGTAATTCTCAGCTGTTCGAATAAAGTTTGTTTGTTTTTTCACTGACTGATTTTCCTACTACTTACTTGGGCCTGGGTCACAACAATACCACAGTATATTCTGTATATCACCTGGTTGAAACGCAAGATGTAGATCTATCAATAGATACATCATTATTTATATATTAGCTGGCACAAGTCAGGTTGACTCCCTGCCCATCGGATAATATTCCGAAGACATACAACTCTCACACTTTGTCTTTTTAAACATTTTAATTAAAAAGAAAGAAAAAGAAAAAAAAATACATAACTTGCAGCCCATTCACATGTTCAGATCTCATGTGGCATGGATTTTATGAGATTTATTAATCTTTCCCCCCCCGCCCCTTCCTTTGTGTGTGTGTGTGTGTGTGTGTGTTTTTTTTTAACAAAGGGATTTCACAAGGATGTCGACAACAGGCAGAGCAGCACCCCCAGGGACCCCCTTGGCAGATCATTTCCCAGCAAAGCAGTGTGATAAATCCATGGAAATCACATCCATCAAATACACACAGGGGAAAACAAGGCACTGTGAGATATAAGCAGGTAGGTAGCCAGTGATCAAAGCAGTGTGACCCAGACAACCCAATTTTTCAAGCCTCTGGCCAAAATGTCGGCCTGGCTGAAACGAAACGAATGGAAAACCGAGAGGACCAGGACTTTATAACATGAGACCTAGAGACAGGAAGAGCAATTTCTAGTGAGAGCCGCAACCGTTGTGCCATCCTGCCTTCTTAAAGCCGTAGATAGTTGGGAAGTTCTCTGCCTCTCTTCCCGTAAGTGTTGGACCCTACATTGGTAGGCGAGTAGATGGTCCCGATGGTGTTGCTGGACCGGACCAGGAAATCTGCCAAGCGTTGTGTCACACACGTGGCAGTGTTGCACTTCCGTTTGTCCAGATGGTGGCTGTTGGGCGTTAAAAACAAATAGGTTGAACGAACAAACCGATAAATAATAAATAAACGCAAACAGAGAGAGACACACACCAAGATTCAAACTCAATGTAAATCGCTCTAATCTTGATTGTAGGAAATACGACTTCTGCAATAGAGTAGTAAATGTCTGGAACACTCAACCTGATCCTGTTGTTAGTCTCTTTAACCCCCATACCAGGGATGAAACCCAGCAGGTTCTAACAGGTTCTGGAGAACCGGTAGGGGAGATTTTGAGTAGTTCAGAGAACCGGCAAATACCACCTCTGGCTGGTCCCAGAGTGGGGTGGGAATGGGAATTTTGCAATATCCTTCCCCCAGGAGGGGAGGGAATGGAGATTTTGCAGTATCCTTCCCCTGGAGTGGGGTGGGAATGGAGATTTTGCAATATCCTTCCCCTGCCACACCCCCAAGCCACGCCCACAGAACCACAGTACGGAAAAATTTTGGATTTCACTTCTGCCCCATACCTTTTAAACTGTCTACGGTGGACCTTTCGTGTTTCTTAAGAGGTCCCTAAGGGGGCGTGCATAAGCGCACCAGGGTACCTACCATCCTGTCCTACTGTCCCCCTTTATATGTAATCATTCTATGCATTTATGGCTATGTTTTGCCTATTTATATCCTTTTAATTTGTGCCAATTTTTTTCATGTGTCCATGTCTATGTCTATACTGTTACTTGTTTCCTTATACTTGTTGACAAACAAATAAACAAATAAGATGATCACCTTCCATAGCCATTTTACAACATACAGCAGGTTAGTGTATAGCAATAGCAATAGCACTTAGATTTATATACTGCTTCGTAGTGCTTTTACAGCGGTTTACAGAGTCAGCATAAAAAGATTTTGCATCTTGCCCCCAACAATCTGGGTCCTCGTTTTACTGACCTGAGAAGGATAGAAGGCTGAGTTAACCTTGAGCCTGGTGAGATTTGAACTGCCAAACTGCAGCTAGCAGTCAGCTGAAGTAGCCTGCAGTGCTGCACTCTAACCACTGCGCCACCTCGGCTCTTGAATATGCTTTGAATAAATGCTTTATATTTATTCTTATCAATATTTGGGGGGGAATTTTCGCAGGTTTCAAGAGTGTAAACTCCCTGGATGAAAGTCACGTCACCTATGGCCCTTCTAATTCTCCTTGAAGGCATTTAGCAACAGCAATAGCACTTAGACTTATATACCGCTTCGCAGTGCTTTACAGCCCTCTCTAAGCGGTTTACAAAGTCAGCATGCTGCCCTCAACAATCTGGGTCCTCATTTTACCAACCTCAGAAGGATGGAAGGCCGAGTCGATCTTGAACCCCATCAAGATCGAACTGCTGGCAGTCGGCAGAATTAGCCTGCAATGCTGCATTCTAACCACTGCGCCACCATGGCTCATTTAATGACTGATACATTGGTGGGAGATCCTTGGTGCTCTCTGAGCTTGGTTTTTTTCTTGCAGAAGTTTCATTACCCAAACTAGGTAGTATCACGAGGGCGCTAATGATGTTACCTAGTTTGGGTAATGAAACATCTGTGAGGAAAAAAAAACCCCCCACAAGATCAAAGAACACCAAAACCCCCCTCATTTCAGTCCTGAGCTACAACTATTCTCCTTTATTGTTACAGCCGTATTTGTAGCCGTTCCATTCCTAACGCTGGGAAGACAACTGATGGAGAATTGGGACTTTTGAAAAAAAAAAAGGGGTGATTTTGGTTGCAACAGGCCCTTAGGTCTAATGTTCTCCAGCTCTGAGGTAACCCTAACACTGAATTTAATAGCCATGGGATGCTTGCAGAATTTGAGGAGGTATTTTTGGAAGTAGATCAGAATGGAATATTTCGAATGGGCATATTTAGTTAGCTATAGCGAGAACTCTGTACTCTAGGTTTACTTCTAAAGAAGTAATTCCTATGCTCTTCTTAATCAATAGAAAATGATTCTACGCCTTCTACGAAACTGAGTTCCTGCATTTTGCAGATACACAGATCCAAAACTTCCTTCTAGATCTGATTGATAAGAAAACTTTGTCGATGTGTAAAATGTTGTATCAATAAAATGAATACGTCTACATTGTGAAAATCTAGTCTCATTTTTCTCCAGGTATAAATTGGCCCTGAAATCCAACAGACAAGAGCTGAATTAGCGAGTTCTCCATGCCGCCAAAGAACAAGATTGCCTTATTTTTCTGTTAAGGTACTTGATAGACCAATCATCTCTTGAAAATTATCCACGGGAACAATCTTCAAAAGGATGCTATATAGCTGTAGAGGCAGCACAATGGTAAAAGGTGTGGAAAGGCCTCCAGAATTTGATGGAATCCCATCAAAGTGATAGAAGCTCTTGGAACAGCTTGTTGATTTTCTTTGTGAAGGTGGAAGAGGTGAACAAATTATGAAACTCAATTTGTGAAACCAATATCACTGTTGTAATTGAAGCTAAATGAAGGCTGCCTACCTTGTTCCAGACCGGGCCAATCTTATTCATGTTGGCGGGTGATAAATTTTTATTTACAAAATGGAGACATGTGAAAATTCTTGAAATCAGAAGTGAGTTTCATATCGGGCAGACATTGTCTGAATTAAGCGAAGTATTTTATTGAAGGAGTTTTGACCGCAGACTAGGTGAAAGACATGGATTTAATAGTCGTAATTAATACAGAAAACAACCTTTTATAAACCCCTTGATGTATCTTTCTCAGTGTATCAGAAAAAAAAAGATTTCCTTTGTAGATTTTATTAAAATCTACGATCACAGTTTTATTCAGCATCTAAAAACATTCATCTTTAACTTGGGGAGTGCTGAAAGTGTTGGGATTTCCATTTTCAGGATTCTCAATTAGCCTAAGGCTCACAAAACACAAAAATATAGATTGTACTACTTGATTTGCTGATCGATGCCCATCCCACCCCTTTGACCCTCAGCAAAATGAGGAGAGTCAAAAAATTAACCTCACGGAGTACATATAATCCTTGATTTACAACCATTCGTTTAGTGGCTGTTCAAAGTTACAACGGTCCTGAAAAAACTGACACAACTGCTTTTCACACGTATGGCCATTGCAGCATCCCCGTGGTCACGTGATCAGAATTCAAACACTTGGCAACTGGCATGTATTTATGACAGTTGCAGTGTTCCTGGGTCATGTGATCCCTTTGTGACCTTCTGACAAACAAAGTCAGTGGAGAAGCCAGATTAATTTAGCAGCCGTGTTACTAATTTAACACCTGTAGTGATTCACTTAGCAACTGTGGCAAGAAAGGTTGTACAATGGGGCAAAACTCACTTAACTGTCTTGCTTAGCAATTAAAAATTTGCGGCTCAATTGTGGTCATAAGTCAAGGACCACCTGTACGCAAATCATTCTTTTTCATACTCCGCTGCAGTGCTAATTTTTATTCCCCTTCAGATGTTAAAAGTTTCCCAATTTAGAAGGTGTTCTGCAGTTTTAATTAAATAGAAGAAGGCACTGGGCTTTGGATAAAGGATGCAGACTTTTGGTCCAAGTATCTGCTACATGGCAATTTGAAAAGTTATCTCTTTATCATTTAGAATAACAGAGTTGGAAGGGACCTTGGAGGTCTTCTAGCCCAACCCCCTTCTTATAGGCAGGAAACCCTACACCACTTCAGACAAATGGTTATCCAACATCTTCTTAAAAGCTTCCAGTGTTGGAGCATTCACAACTTCTGGAGTCAAGTTGTTCCACTGATGAATTGTTCTAACTGTCAGGAAATTTCTCCTTAGTTCTAAATTGCTTCTCTCTTTGATTAGTTTCCACCCATTGCTTCTTGTTCTACCCTCAGGTGCTTTGGAGAATAGCTTGACTCCCTCTTCTTTGTGGCAGCCCCTGAGATATTGGAACACTGCTATCGTGTCTCCCCTAGTCCTTCTTGTCATTAAACTAGACATACCCAGTTCCTGCAACCGTTCTTCATATGTTTTAGCCTCCAGTCCCCTAATCATTTTTGTTCCTCTTCTCTGCACTCTTTCTAGAGTCTCCACATCTTTTTTATATCGTAGCGACCAAAACCGAACGCAATATTCCAAGCGTGGCCTTGTTTCTTAAATATAAACCTTGGTTTGTTCATTATAGATTAGCCACTGTACTGTAGTTTAAATGCATGGTGCCAATCCACACTAAATGAGTTGTAAGTTAGCTTATGAGGCTGCTTAATTCGTAGTTCAAACTAGGCTCATCGGTCTCATGGAGTACATAGCATAGCCCACTTGGGAAAAATAACTGTTCATGTGAAGAGTTAAAAAGAAATAGTACCAGGAAACGCACATAAAACAGGTACGATATAACTCAAATCTAGATCTTGCATTGCTACGTTAAGAGTGATTTTTGAGGGAATGATATCTGTCCAAAGGAATTATCTATCTATCTATCTATCTATCTATCTATCTATCTATCTATCTATTATCTATCTATCTGTCTGTCTGTCTGTCTGTCTATCTATCTATCTATCTATCTATCTCTCTATCTCTCTATCTCTCTCTCTCTCTCTCTCTCTCTCTCTCTCTCTCTCTTCTCTCTCTATCTCTATCTATCTCTATCTCTATCTCTATCTCTATCTCTATCTCTATCTCTATCTCTACCTCTACCTCTACCTCTACCTCTACCTCTACCTCTACCTCTATCTTCTATCTCTATCTCTATCTCTATCTCTATCTCTATCTCTATCTCTATTTCTATATATATCTGGAGGAGGTTGCCCCTTCTGAATACTGATTGAATCCAGCTATTATTAATAGTCTAAAATAAAAATCAGTCCTGGTACAAAATGTGCAAGAGGATATTAAAAATAATGCAATTGGATGCTCTGAAGCATAGGTGCCTCTTCCCAATCACAATAATCCCACAATTAATCCACAGCCAAGCAAGGTCCCCCCACTTTTTGTATTGGCATCACAATATCACATACAAGTCTATGAAAGTTGGATTTGTCCTCATGAAGGACCAAGTCACATTTTATCTCATTTCC